TAAACGGCAGGACCTCGGGTCACAAGACACAAGGGTTTAGGGTTTAGGGCTTAGGGCTTAAGGCATTAGGGTAAATGGAGCCCACAGACAGCTTGACAAAGCAGAGGCCCAGACTCAGTAGAGGAGCTCCATGACGTGGCAACACAAAGCGCTACCCCAAGCCGCAAACTTCAGGAACCCGCGTCCTGCAGATCACATCGGGCGAAGCGGACAAGGTCGGCCTCTTGCTGCCGCATTTCGGTTTAGAGTTCAGGAGTTTAGGACAAGCCTGAAGTAAAGGAGTTTTGGTCCCTTGTCGTCCTGGCTGCGTCAATGCAAAATGAGGGCCCTTGAAGAACTTCGACCCTGCACCCTGACACCCACAAGCCCAAAACCCTAAACCCTAAACCCTAAAAAGCTTCAAACCCCCAGGTCTTCGACCTCTAGTGCTTAGGAAGTGGTTTAGGGCTTAGGGCTGTTTAGGTTTGTTCTATATTGCTGGTTTGTAGTTCTTTTGGGGGGGGGGGGGTTTAGGGTTTTACCGGGTCTTGGCGAGGAGGGTCCGTCTTTCAGTGTGCCGGCTTCGACCTCAGGTCCACGCTTCAGGAAGATTCGTTTCTACTGCCATAGCCATAACCTATTCAGGGTTTAGGGTTTAGGGTTTAGGGTTGAGGGTTTAGGGTTGAGGGCCCTGAAACTCCACGTATATCCCCAGGCCCCCAAAACCCAACCCTTTGCAGATGTCCACTCCCCCACTGAAAGGACCCCAAAACTCTGTTCCAGCAAGGGTTCTCTGTGCCTGGGGAGGAGATCCATGCCATGACCACCCACGTCGAGATGGTGCCTGCGCAGCTTTAGGGTTCGGGGTTCAGGTCGAAATCGAGTTTAAGGAAAAGGGCTGCTTTCCCCCTTGAGCCCCAAAACCCGAAGCCCTAATCAAACCCTGAAGGCTTGAGGGCTTGTTGGGTTCAGGGTTTAGGGTTTAGGGTTTAGGGTTTAGGGTTTAGGGTTTAGGGTTTAGGGTTTAGGGTTTAGGGTTTAGGGTTTAGGGTTTAGGGTTTAGGGTTTAGGGTTTAGGGTTTAGGGGGTTGCCTTACATGCACCTAGTAGGCTGCGTATAAGCCTCACTGTAAACTTTTAGACGCGCACTTGGCAGCCGCAAGAACAACTAACCCGTACCCGAAGCGCTTTGCCACAACTCGTCTCCTTGACACGCTCCTCCTCCTCCTTGGGCGTCATATGTCATTTCTGCTTCCTAAACCCTAAGACCCTTGTACCCCTACACACTTGTAAGGGGAGTGCAGTAAAGACAAGGACCAGAGCGCGACTTCAGAGACTGAAGCGCAGTGGCGTTCCATGCTGCAGGCCGGTGTCCGTCGTCGGCTTATAGTTACTCCGGTTGCATCTTAAGCAAACCCTAAACCTTGGGATGCTCTCCCTTAACCCCTTAACTAACAGTCCTGAATAGGACTATAGTACGGGGTACGCCAGAGATTTGAGAACGCGGAGCGCGTCTGCGAAGCTCTTATCGGAGCCAAGCGCAAACAACTGCAGATACTATATGAAGTAGTGTTTATATTTCTTGTATCCCCAAAAGGACACCAAATATATACACTCACCAATATTAAAAAGGAACCATATATACACTCACCAAAAACAGATATATAAGCCCTGCTTCATATGGAGTTGAGTTCAGAGACAGAGTCGCTTCTTGCATGCTGCCCTTTGGTGTTATTGGCTATGTGGGGGTATAGGGGCCCCCAATGAAGGGACCATACTTATGGGCCCTTCCTTGTATCTACCCTAAGAGTTTAGATGAAAAGGCTTTCTGGATCGCAGCACCCTCCATCGCGTGACTTGGGCGTGGGCTGGCCTCGTGTCACGCCGAGCATGCTGAACGTCAAGCACCCTAAACCCTAAACCCTAAACCCTAAACCCTAAACCCTAAACCCTAAACCCTCCACCCTCCCTAAGATGCCTTGGCCCTGAATTCGTCTTGTAAAATATCGTCCCCGACATCCGAATTAACCCCCATAAGCCCTAAACAAAAAAAACCGAAGCCCTACAACCTGAGCCTTCTACCTAAGCTCTGATAAGGCCCCAAAGGATACAAAAAACCCACAACCTGAGCCCTCTACTTGAGCCCTGGTAAGGCTCCTGACCCTAAACCCTAAACCCTAAACCCTAAACCCTAAACCCTAAACCCTAAACAAAGGACTGAAGCTTCGAAGGGATTTTCGGCTCCAGCTCACCACTTTCCCCGGCCTTCGCCTAAGTCACCATGGCCGCCTCGCCGATGCGAAAGCCTCCTGGCACTGCTTCGGGCCTCTGTAGGGTTTAGGGTTTAGGGTGCCTCTGTGGTCAGAAGTAGGGTTACAAGTACCCTAAGTAAGGTTGTAACTTAGTGGGATACATACCCCCCGCTTGAACCCCCCTCCCCTAAGAACCCTATAAAGGTTTTAGGATTTAGGGTTTAGGGTTTAGGCCATCAAAGCAACCCCTACATTGCATTCATTCTCCAACCCGATGCCGTCAACTGCCAGACAGATAGAGGGAATCTGTAAGAACACCCATCGAACACTTTACAAGTTAAAGCACAAGCCACACCTGGTCCCTATGAAGCCGCATAAAAACACTCATTTTTCGACTGCAACCTTGCGAATTGGAGGTTCATGCGTAGTTATACGCTCAGTAGCTGAATGAGTACACTTTACCCTTTTTGGGATACTTGAATCCCCCTGTAGAACTGAAAGTGTGCACTTTTTTTGGGGGGCTTATGAACTCAGCAACCAAGTAAGTCGGGGACCCTAAACCCTAAACCCTAAACCCTGAACCCTAAGTTATAAGTTATAAGTAGGGTACCCTAGTACTCCCCGCTACTCCCTCAGGCCTAAGCTTCGCCGGGTGCCCAATATGAACCCCCCCCCAAACCCTTTCGCATGTTGTCATAGATTGGCACCTAGACCCTAGACCCTAGACCCTAGACCCTAAACCCTAAACCCTAAACCCTAAACCCTAAACCCTAACCCTAAGCCCTAAGCCCTAAACCTAAACACTAAACCCTAAGCCCTAAACCCTAAGCCCTAAATCCTAAACCCTAAACCCTAAACCCTGCACCTTCCAAGGCTTCGCCTGCTCCCGGCCGCTTTGGCCCTCGCAGCCCTGGCAGCTCCCTGCTTCGTGGCCGCGCCGGGCAAGACGCCTGGCAAGCCTGACTGAACCGCATGGAGGGGAGGGTTTAGGGTTTAGGGTTTAGGGTTTAGGGTTTAGGGTTTAGGGTTTAGGACTAAACCACCATGGGTTCCCCTACTACTCCCCTCTATACTGCCCCCAATCTAGGTAGCCCCATAATTAAGGCGATTTAGGGATAATTACGGTTTTTATGGGGGGGGGGAACCTGGAGGGTATAGGGATCAACAAAAAAGTAAAAAGTATCAAAAACAAAATAGAAAATCGATCAACAAAATAAACCCTATAGGCCCTAAACCCTAAGCCCTCGGCTTTTTTTTTGATCCTCTTTTATTTGTTGATCCGGCAGCCAACCTAGAGGGGGTAGTATAAGGGGGGTAGTAGGGAAACCCATGAAACCACGTGGAGGGGACGGGGTGTCTAGACAATCCCTAAGGGTCCATGTACCTATATGGTATATACTTGGGCCCTAAAGCTGCTACATGGGTATCCCTCTAAGGCCCAAGTATATCCCATATGGCTACATGGACCCTTAGGAAAGACTGGCCCTCAATTAATCAGGGGCTGCAACGTATGCTGGGGAATTCAGGGGCTTAAAGCCATTATCACCCACAGTGCGCTCGAGCCGAAACCCCAACTGGTGTGTGTCCCTAAACCCGAAAACCCTTAAGCAGCTGACGGATGAAGTTGACAGCACGGCTTGGGATTTCGAGTTTGGGGTTTTATCGGAGGGGGGGGGGGTTAGGGTTTCCAAACAGGATAGTAAACCACGGCCGCCCTTCGGACATTTCAAAAGGCCCGGGGGAAGGTTAAAAGATCGGAGGCAGTTGGTTGGTTTGACAAGAGTACACATATATACATATACATTATCTAGGTTCTAGAGATATGTGGGGTATGGTTTCTAGTCCAGCTAGAGGGGTCTAGACGTCAGGGCTTTGACGGGGCGACGATGGGATGACGACGGCGCGACGACGGGGTGGCGACGGGGCGACGACGGTGTGACGACGGCGCGACGACAGGGTGCGATGGCGCGACGACGGGCTGACGACGGGGGGACGACGGCTGTCGCGCCGTCGTCGCGCCGTCGTCGCGCCGTCGTCCCACCGTCGTCCCGCCGTCGTCCCGCCGTCGTCCCGCCGTCGTCCCGCCGTCGTCCCGCCGTCGTCCCGCCGTCGTCCCGCCGTCGTCCCGCCGTCGTCCCGCCGTCATAAGGCTAGTTTGGGCTTAAACTAGACCTTATGACGGGAAATAAGGCCTAGTTTGGGCTAAATAAGGCCTAGTTTGGGCTTAAACTAGGCCTTATGACGGCGTGACGACGGCGCGACGACGGCGCGACGACGGCGCGACGACGACGCGACGACGGCTCGACGACGGCGCGACAGCCGTCGTCCCCCCGTCGTCCCTCCGTCGTCCCCCCGTCGTCCCCCCGTCGTCCCCCCGTCGTCCCCCCGGCGTCCTGCCGTCGTCCCCCCGTCATCCTGCCGTCGTCCCTCCGTCGTCTTGCCCTCGTCCCTCCGTCGTCCCACCATCGTCCCTCCGTCGTCCCACCGTCGTCCCTCCGTCGTTTTGCCGTCGTCCTACTTTTGTTGTGTGGACTAACACATATCTTTAGAACTTAGATAACATATACATAATAAAAATATATACTATGTATATATGTATGTTGTTTTTGTGGAGCTGCCTGCTTTGCACTCCCCATCCGCCCTGCGGTTGAGCATTCACATTGATGACGGCCCTTTCCCCAAGTTTTCGGTTTAGGGTTTGGACCCAAAGCCCTCTACCTTAAACACTAACTCACTAGCCCAACCCCGAAGCCCCACTCCGAAGCTCAGGAGACAGGCTGAAGTGCCAGTGGCCCCGCTGGCCGCGGGTATGGCCATTGCGGCCAACCCTATGGAGGCCGCTCGAAAGCAGCCGTGGACGAGTTCTGCTGTGATGTCACTCTGCGCCGCCAAGATACACCTTCCAGCCTGCACCCCTTTGCTATTGTAAATTTAGCAATTGAATGAGTTTGATAGTTAATCAGGGTTTATAGGGTTCACGGAAATGGGGTAAACATTGGCCCAGGTTGAGCTTAATCTCTGTGTGAAGCATCGCGGAAACAGATCTCGGCGAAGCAAGCCCGAGCTCAACCTCCCCACCTGTCGTACTTCCTAAGGGCCCATGTGCCTCCCTGGTGCCTCCCGGATTTAGCCTAGCTCCAACCCGCGCACCCAGCGATTGAGCTAGCAACATCGTCCCCAAAACTCTAAGCCAAGCCGACCGAAACCCAAAACTCCAAGCCCGAGCCGCGAGCTATGCGGGAGAGAACAAATCCCAAGCCACCAAAGGCGGCCTACGCCCTGCTGCCGCCACTGGAGGCTGGGACAGTCGCCTCAGAGCGACCCTGGATCAGGGGTTAGGGTTTAGGGTTTAGGGCCGTGGAGCTTAAGGGGGGCTACTTGGAGGTTCATGGGGAGGGATAAGTAGGGCTGGTGCAATAAGGATTTTGTCAAGACCCTCTTTCAGGCTTTAAAGGTACTTCGAACCCCAATTACTTCTAACCACTCCCGAACCTTCAAGTCTAGGGGGTCTACAGGTTTTCCGTATGCATCAACCCAGGTTGGAGCTTAAGGCCTAAAACTCGATAGCCAATCCTATCCCTATCCTTGCAGGGACCTAGCTGTGGGGTCCTTAGGGGCTCTAGCAACTTGAATTAGGTCCCTGGAAGGATAGGGTATGTAATTACATAGTTCTTCCCTTACCTGTAGAGTCCCTTTGTACTGACGGAATAAATGACGAAACCAAGAAAACCCAGAACAATGAAAAGATTTAGGGTAGAAGGGCTTGGTGTTTCAGTGCAACGACATGCAGAGCTTTAGGGTTTGTCATTCCGACTTTGATCCTTTTGCCTACATGCCCACTTCTTACAAGGTTTTGGGCCTGGGTTTATAGGGTCTGGGTTTAGGGTTTAGGGTTTAGGGTTTAGGGTTTAGGGAACTGAGCGGGTCCTCCGGATGGTCGACTCCGTGTGCAGGATGTGCCCCTCGAGGAGATCGGCCAGACTCGCCAGGGGCAGCTTCGGCCGAGAGGGGGCCAATTGCACCCTTAAAACTATGTTGAGAGGGTTTAGGGTTTAGGGTTTAGGGTTTAGGGTTTAGGGTTTAGGGTTTAGGGTTTAGGGTTTAGGGTTTAGGGTTTACGCACTAGAACCCTAGCACCCTAACCCTAGAGCTCGAAACCCAAAAAGCCCTACACCCTAACACCCTTAAACTTGGGATGTTCCCCCTTGTACTAGCAGTCCTTAATAGGGATTATAGCACGGGTACTCTAATCCCTACTAAGGACTGTTAGTAACTGTATAAGGGGGGACATCCCAACCTTAAACCCAAAACCCTAAAACCCTAAAACCCTAAAACCCTAAAACCCTAAAACCCTAAAACCCTAAAACCCTAAAACCCTAAAACCCTAAAACCCTAAACCCCTAAACCCTAAAACCCTAAAACCCTAAAACCCTAAAACCCTAAAACCCTAAAACCCTAAAACCCTAAAACCCTAAAACCCTAAAACCCTAAAACCCTAAAACCCTAAAACCCTAAAACCCTAAAACCCTAAACCCTAAACCCTAGCAGCTTCTTAAGCCGAATTCAGAAAGTGTCGGCTTCCCCGCTCTGCCTCCCTCAGCTTTCGCTTTGACGCTTCACAAGAGGTTTAGGGTTTAGGGATTAGGGATTACGGTTTGGGGTTTAGGGTTAGGGCTAGGGTTTAGGGTTTAGGGTTTAGGGTTTAGGGTTTAGGGTTTAGGGTTTAGGGTTTAGGGTTTAGGGTTTAGGGTTTAGGGTTTAGGGTTGGGCATCCTTTTCCGGAAGGAGCCCATCGCCTCGATGAACTCAGGGCCCATGGTACTGCCTTACCTGAAAGAGAGTAGCCTTCCAACGAAGGTCACCACGATGTTGGGAAGCCCCCGCGCATGGGGCACCGCTCTCCCAATCCCAGAAAGCCCCTAAACCCTAAACCCTAAACCCTAAACCCTAAACCCTAAACCCTAAACCCTAAACCCTAAACCCTAAACCCTAAACCCTAAACCCTAAACCCTAAACCCTAAACCCTAAACCCTAAACCCTAGCCCGCTCAAGCCCAGGATGCTGGACAAAGAGTCCGACACCTTCATGGGCACCTCGGGCTGAAGGTTTCGTAGGGTCCTCAAGAACTCTCCAAAAAAGGGACAGTTTCGTGTCGCTTGCGCTTCCCCTTTTTCTCTCAAGGGGCGAGAAGGTTGAACCCTAGGTGAACCCTAGAGTCGCAGCTTCGGGTCTGGGGTGTCGGGTTTCAGCTCATCAGCTGCACTGCAGTCCCTCCTCAAAAGAAAGCTCATCAGCTACACACTCAAGGTTCAGAGCATCTTCTGTTTTTTTTTTTTTGTGCGTGTGTGTGTGTGTGTGTGTCTCTCTCCCTGTCTCTCGCTATCTCTCTCTCTCTCTCTCTCTCTCGCTCTCTCTCTCTGTCTCTGTGTGCATGTGTGTGCGCGTGTGCGCGTGTGCGTGTGTGCGTGTGTGTGCGTGTGCGTGCGTGTGCGTATGTGTGCGCGTGTGTGCGTGTGTGCGTGTGTGCGTGGGTGTGGGTGTGGGTGTGGGTGTGGGTGTGGGTGTGGGTGTGTGTGTGTGTGTGTTTGTTGGGTTTAGGGTTTGGGGTTTAGGGAGTCGGGTTTGGCGGTCGGAGGAGGAGGAGGAGGAGGAGGGCAGGAGTACCCGCTGAGGGGACCTGGATTCTCTACTTGGAGGTTCATGGTATTAATAACCCAATAAAAACTGAACTTAGAACCCAAGTATAGCCACCTCAGGGCACTTAAGGGGCTTATAAGCGGGGTATAAGTGGGTTATAAGTACCATGAACCTCCAAGTAGGGACTACATCCTAAACCCTAAGCCGCAAAAAGTCACTTAAACCCCAAGGAGAGCTTCGGCTGGCCCTAAACCCTAAACTTGGGATGTTTCCCCTTACACTAACAGCCTCTAATAGGGATTATAAGAGGGGGGGTACTATAATCCCTAATAAGGACTGTTAGTAGAAGTGGGGAACATCCCAACCATAAACCCTCAAGCCTAAACCCTAAAGTTTCCCTAAACCCTAAACCCTAAACCCTAAAACTCTCCAGCCAAGTACACTCCTTGCCCCACGTTTGAGGCGTCAGCTTTCCTGTCTGGCTCTTCGTGATCGGTGGCGCCGTGCTTTGGGTACCCTGGCCAAACTCCTACTGCACTGTTATTTGCTTAAGAATCCCCCCCCCCCCCCCAAACAAAAAGGTTTCGAGTTTAGGGTTTTGGGTTTAGGCTACTTGCTTAAGAGCTCCCCCGAAAAGTCGAAAGTGTTCTTGCTCATAAGGGTACTCGGGGGATTACTATCTTTGACTTTTTGTGTGTGTGTGGGGGGGGGGGGTTCTCAAGCAACTAGTAGTACCGCAAGCAATGGTCAAGCCTAGAGGGTCCACGCATTGCAGTCTCAGAATCCTAGTGGTTTAAGCAGGGTCTAGGGTTTAGGGTTTAGGGTTTAGGGTTCAGGGTTCAGGGTTTAGGGCTTTTCAGGTTTAGGGTTTGTTTGGGGGTTTCAGGGTTTTAGCGTATTCTGGCCTCAGGGAGCCACAAGTCATTCTACATTTTTCTGGCCCCGAAGTCCGCACCTGAAGTCCTCTGGAGGAGCCGAGGATTGTTGTTTCTTGTTTAGGGTTTAGGGTTTGGGGTTTATGGTTTATGGGTTTAGGGTTGCTTGGTAGACCGAGAGGTACCCTTTACCCTTTTTTTGGTTCTGGGTTCCCGTAGAAAGTAACAAACAAAAAAATGGTGCCCTTCTTATAATGTGGTTACTGGGCTACTAAGGTTTAATTTGGGAAGAGCCGAGGAGGGTTTATTTATCCAAGGTTGAAAGCGTTGTGTTTGGCTGGGCTCAGAGAGCCGTTGTGGGAGAAGCTGGCTCACAGTCTTTTGGCAAACCCTCCCTAAGCCTGCCAAACGCTTGACTTAGCCCCCTGCTCCAAGGTTACTTGTCGCGGTTTCGGGCTTCAGGTTTTGGGCAGGCATCTTTGACCATGCCGGCCATGGCTGTTTGCATCCCAACAGCATGCAACAGCTCTCTTGCACAGGCTGCAATGGCTTCGATGCTGATTTTGAAGCCGTTCGAAAGACCCAAGCGGACTGCCAGCGTAAGTAGTAGGAATCCTTCCATGAGAGCTAAAGAGGTCATGAGACTCAGATGTCGGCTTTCAGTTTCGGCGCAATGCTGAGTTGAAGACTTTGGTTTCTTTGTGCAACTGTCTTTGTGTGGGCTCTGCTGGTGATTGAAATCAGACGGGGCGTAACAAACCGGAACTTATGCTTCGGACAAGCTGTCAACAACTAAAGTATCTGTTAGCACATGTAGCTTTGCCCCTTACTAAGCTTCGCTATCCCTGTTTGCTAGGACCTTGTAGCGCATTTCAACAAAGAAAGCTCAGCGCGGGGCCGCGATGAGGCGTGTCCCGGCGCGCGTTTTCTGTGTGCTGCTGGCAGTCTGTGATGCCTTCTTCGACTGCCAGGCAGGCGACAGCGACAGGTTCTGCAAATCGGAACCAAACTCCTGCCATGGACGCTGGTACAGTTTGAGGAAGCCCTGCGGACCACCGGATGCCTGCCTGGACTTGCCGGAGAAAGGCCCGATTATGGGCCTGCAAGCTGTAGATCTGGATGCGGATGGGCAGGTGGATCTCCTTGTCAGCCACGTTGGGGGGAGAGCTTCAATTGTGAAACATGACGGGGGGTTGGTCGAGGGCAACAGTACCATTGGAGGCATGAAGTTTCCTTATGGCTCGTTTGTGCAAGCAGTTGATTGGGATCATGATGGTGACCTGGACCTCGTCGCAGTAGATTCAACTGGTCTATGGCCGAGCATGCTTCCATGGAATGCAAGTATGCTCTTCTATTGGGAGAATGTTGATGGTGGCTTCTATTCCCGGACAGGCTTGGACAACCCCTTTCATGCGACGCGGGTGTCTGAGCTGTGCAGGACGCTTTGCTTTCCACACTTTGTTGATTGGGATGGAGACTCGTTCCTGGATCTCATCCTCAGCGCACGAGGCAAGGATGACCTCCTGCTGTTCTTCCATCGGAGCCCCACCGGGTCTCTCAAGCAGTTGCTTGGTCATAGTTGGGTACCATTTTACATTTTTAAGGGTACTTAAACCCAATAAGGAAGATAAATTTAGACTTTTAATATTATCCCAACCATGAACTAGGTTGGAGGGTGCCCCCAATCCGCTGGCTGGCTTTGGCAGCACCGGCTCCCTGGGAGCTGCTGCGGCGCCTTGGCAGCCCAGTGTGTGGTGCCCTTTTTGTTGCCCCTTTTTTTGTGGTTCTGGGTTCCCTTATCAAGGAACCCCCCCCCCCCCCCCCAAAAAAAAAAAAAAAAAGTAAAATCCCTAAACCCTAAACCCCAAACCCTAAACCCTAAACCATGTTATGGTTGCTTGGCTGCCGAGGTGCAGGCTGTCGATTGGGATGGCGATGGGGACCTTGACCTTGTGGTTGCCCACTCCTCGAACACGAACCTACAGGTCTACGAGCGGATGGAAGACTGGAGCATGGAAAGAGTGGCCCAGATCTCCTTCCACAGCAAGCTGAGCAAGTTTGCCCTGGCACGGCTTGGCCAGGGCTTGCCCGCCTTGTTCCAGGCCTCTCAGGGTTCCACCAGAGTCTCTTAGTAGTAGAGTAGGTAACCTTTTAACCTTTTTGGGTTAGTAGATTCCCCTTCGAATCCCAAAGGTTAACCTTTAAAACCCCTAGGTACTGGACAGCTAAGGTCTGCGTCCAGCGACCTCAGGCTGAGGAGTCGTTTCAGCTACGGAGCCCTGCGGCAAACCCTTTCTTCGACATCAAGGTTGACACCCGGGCTTTCCCGAACCTTGAGGACCAAATGAGACCTAAAAGGGTTATGGTTCATGTACCCTAGTAAGGATTGCAGAAGTAAAGGGCATATGGTCCCATTTTTAGGGTTTTCATTTGGTTCCCAAGGAATGCAGTCGACTGGGATGGGGATGGCTTCTTGGATGTGGTGATGTTGAACAGGGATGGCACGATCTCCTTCTGGCAGGGCGCATCTGGAGGTTTCCTACCTCGCACAGACGACAACCCGCTGCAAGACGTGACAGGAGGAGCGCATTTTGTTGAAGTGGTGGATTGGGACTCGGACGGAGACATGGATGTGCTGGCGGTATCCGGTTGGCCTTCGACTCGTGTTGAGTTGTGGGAACAGCTGGCCAATGGCAGCTTGAGGAGGCAAACTGGCGACAAGAGTCCCTTTACCTCGATCGATATGGATGCGGGTATTGGGGACGCACCCACCCCAACGATATGTGAGGTTCATAGTGCTGATTGGGACAGCGATGGAGATATGGATCTCATTGGCTTCGTAAGATCAAGCGGCAAGGCTGCTGAGATTTGGTATTGGGAAAATGCGGGTGGCAGCTTGCACCTCCGGTCGGGTGACTCAAACCCCTTTGGCGGGATTCGTGTACCAGGACCGGCGGCTGCGCGAATGCAGGTTCTAGACTATGACGGGGATGGCAACTTGGACTTCTTCTTGAGCAGCTTGGTAGCCCAGTGGTACCCTTTTTCCTTTTTGGGGGTTCAAGGTTGTCATAAAGCAACCAACCCGAAAAAGGGCAACCCTAAACCCTAAACCCTAAACCCTTAACCTTATTATAGTATGGTTACTGGGCTACTAAGGCGAATACGCAACAGGTAGACTACACCTCTGGTTGGATCATGGCGGTGAGCTGCATGAGCTCAACAACTCAAGAGGCCTTGGTGGGTTTAGGGTTCAGGGTTCAGGGTTTAGGGTTTAGGGTTTACTTGGTCGCCCAGTGTTGTGCCCTGTTGCCTTTTTTGGGGGGTTCTGGGCTCCCTTCTAAAGCGGCCCCGGAAAAAAAGGGTACCGTCAGGGTACCCTTAAGTTTCGGGATTTCGGGATTTAGGGATTTAGGGTTTAGGGTTTAGGGTTTAGGGTTTAGGGTTTAGGGTTTAGGGTTTAGGGCTATCATGTGGTGACACGGGCTACCAGGAGGCTCAAGCCCCTTCCCGCCCGTGGCCGACATCAGCCACCGCACCTCCGTGGTTCAGCTGGTGCCTTGGCAAGGGGAGTGGGGCCTGCTGGCTGGTGGCCTGGATGGCACCCTCAGCTTCTGGGCCCCAAAGGGATATTTTTTGTACTTTCCCTCAGTTGGGTTTAAGAGGATCATATTCAGGAACCCTGAACCCTAAGCCCTAAGCCCTAAACCCTAAACCTGTTTTTCAGAGGGTTTCAACGGCCATCCGAGCAACAAGGGTTGTAAGGGGGCCAGCCAAGGCTTCTTCCAGAAGGGATTCTGCGAGGTCACTGCGCGCTGCAGCAGCAGTGGGAGCTGCAAGCCCAGCGGCGAGTGCAACTGCAACCAGGACCCTGGGAGGGTTTAGGGTTTAGGGTTCAGGGTTCAGGGTTTAGGGTTTAGGGTTTAGGGTTTAGGGTTTAGGGTTCAGGGTTCAGGGTTCAGGGTTCAGGGTTCAGGGTTTAGGGTTTAGAGGGACCCTGGGACCAAGAGTGGGCCCTTGTAATGTATTCCCTTTTTTTTTGAGGTTCAGGTTCCTTCTACGCACCTTCAAGCCAAGAAGAGTCCCGTGTTTCCTTTTTTAAGGTTTTGGGTTCCCTTATCAGCACCTTCAAGCCAAAAAGGGCACCTTTGTCAACTCCTAGCCCTAAACCCGAAACCCTAAACCACAAAAGGGCGCCCTTTGCATTCCTAGATTACCACTATTTGCTATCAAGAACCTCGAAAGAATTAAAAACAACAACCCCTATATTACCCTTATAAGGAAGAAAATGTTTTTATTATTGTTATTATTATTATTATTTATTATTTTTTTTTTGGGGGGGGGTGCTTAAGCAATTAGTAGTTAAAAAAGACCTCCAAATAGCAGGATCCCATAAAAAGGAAGAGTATGTTTCTATTCTTTGGGGGCGTGCTTTAGCAATTAGTAGTAATACAAACCCCCCAAACAGCAGGATCCCCTTAGAGTGAGGACCTCAATAAGGTACCCCTAAGATCGTAGCCCTAAACCCCAAACCCCAAACCCTAAACCCGAAACCCCAAACCCTAAACCCTAAACCCGAAACCCTTGGGTCCAGGACCGGCGCTTCTCGGACTGCTCGGGTTGCGCCGCGGGCTATTCCAAGCGCTTCACGGGTTTCAGCAGCTGTCAGCCTTGCGCTGGCGTGGAGGCAGGGGAGGGTGCTTGCTACTGGGCCCTTATAAGAGATATTCAAGATTTTCACTTGTTGGGTTTAAGAGGATCGAATTGCTTGCTACTAGGCCCTTATAAGGGATGTTAAAGTATGCTCTCTTGTTGGGTTTAAGAGGATCGAGTTCAGGAAATGTTTCAGAGATGTTTTTTTTCAAGGGCCATCCTAGGCTACAAGCGGGGCATCTGTGTGGACGACGTCTTCGTGAGTGCCAATGCTCCTTCGGTCTTGGAGCAGCACCTGGCCAGAGGAAACGCGAGCTGCAATTGCAATGAACATTTCTTTGGTACCAGCGATGGTCTGAACACTTGCCTCGAGGGCATGTGCCCTGTTGGATTTGAGCTGAAGCCAATTATGCCAAACAGAGCCGGGAGTCTCAACTCCAATTTAAATCGATCCCTGCTGTCGTGCCAGAAGTGCGACCCTGGATACGGCAAAGCTGCTTCAGGCAATGAACCCTGCCAACGATGCCAAGTCAACTTTGTGTCCCCTCCCAAAGGCAAGGGTGTTTGTGAACGTTGTGCAGCAGGGTACACGTCCGACCCTGAAAGGAAGACTTGCCGGGTGAAGGCAAGTACCATCTACGGTGCTGTCGTGCTCTTTTTGTGTTCTTTACTGGGTTGTCTGGTCTTCCCCGTTATGCTTGGCCTCCCTATCGCTGTGGAAGACGTGGGGTTTGAGCGCGGGGCTGGCACAGTCGTTACCACTGCTAGCGTGCATTGCCTCCTGCCTTGTCTGCGATGGTTGCCTGAAGTTTGGTTTTTCGGCACCGGGGTCCCCATGCTCGATGGGAAGGCCTTCCGGGTACAAAGCTTGGGTTTTCGCAGGCTCTTGTTGCATGACAAAGAGCATCTCAAGGCGCTAGCTGAGACGTGTTATGACACAAACAAGGGCTTTCTGCGTTTTTCACCTCAGTTTGCTCTTTACTGGACTGGGCTTGGCATACCGTTCTGGCTTTGGTTGCTGGCCTCAATGGTCATCTCAGCTATTGTCTGTGTGTTTTGCGAGCTGCCGGCCTCAGAAATCATCTCAGTAGTGTGTGCGGCCATTCTTTGTGCTGCGCTAGCACACTTGCGCATCTATTGGTCCAACTCCCGATCAGCTTTGGCCCTTAGCCGGCACCGGTTCCGACAACGCCTTCGGGAACGTAACCCCTGGCCAAGTGCCTGCCAACGCGGCCCGCACAGGGCCATCACAGCAGCACAATTGCATGATTTCTTCCAGTATTTTGTGGCTTACCTGGGTGAACGAAGCATGTACTATGTGGCCCAGAACCTCATCATACCGCTCACCCAACCCACACGTCTCTCCTATGCAGAGCTGGCCGGCCCCAGCGAGGTGCAATGGTTTGTCAGTCATTTTTGGGGCACACCATTCAAGCACTTCGTGGACTGCGTCCGCAAGCACAGCGAAAGTCTGGCCACCGGTGCCTGGGAGGATCTCTGCTACTGGATCTGCTCCTTTAGCAACAATCAGTGGCGCGTGGGCGAAGAGTTGGGAGGCTCGGATGGCTGGGTGGCCTCCTCGTTCTACCTGGCCTTGCGTGGCGGCAGCTGTCAGGGGACCGCCATGATCTTTGACGATGAAGCCTTGCCCCTGGAACGCTCCTGGTGTTTGTTCGAGCTGCTGCAAACTTTGCAGCTCAGCCAGGAGGACGCCTACACATATGTCTGTAAATACATTTAAACTATAGATACATACACTCCAATTACATAAGGATCAGTCGTCTGAATACACACACATATATACTTAGTTAACTTATAATTTGTTCTTTATTTGTTAGTTTATTGATTTGAAATGTCTTATACTATATACATCTATATACACATATGTACACACACACACACGCAGGACGCCCGCTTCCGGGGTCTGTTCCTTTGCGTGCCCTCCGGGGTGCTCGCCTCGGGGAGTTGCAGCCTCGACGCAGCGCTGGCCATCTCCCGGAAGCTGGCGACCCTGGACTTGCAGAACCTGGGTTTTTTTGGAGTACTATACTTTACAATACTTTTTGTTGGTTGGGGGTTTCTATTATAGCTACTTATACCTAAAATGTATATACTTTTTTTCAGGGTCTACTCCAAAGCCAAGGAACGCTCGGGCCAGCTGCCAGGAGCCGTTCAGGGTTTAGGGTTTAAGAGTTTAGGGTTTTGGGGCATAGAGGCCCTACTAAACCCTATCGAAACCTTTTGTCTAGGCCTTAACTATATCCCTCTTGGGATGATTTTTTATTTTTATATAACCCAAGAGGATATTAAACATATTATTTTTATTAAGGTTCTAAGGGGAGTATAGTTAAAACCTGTAGAAACGTTCTGTGTAAACCCTAAACCCTACAGCTGCGAGGAGGACAAGGAGATGATTGACGCACTGGTTGTGCAGTCTGGTGGCTTCGAGATGCTCTATGAGTGTGTATACATCTATATATATATATATATATTATATATATGTATATATAGAGGTTTGTATTTCCAGACTACATATATATGTTTACACACACTATATATGTATGTACACACTACTGTACATGTCTGATGCTATGCATATCAGGTTATAAAATTACAACTGGCTTTATATGTGTATATACATATTATATACATTGTAATTTTCGATGCATATTTTTACATATATACTTATACGCTTGCAATATGCATCTTTTCTCTATAGACAAATATGCATACAGACTATATTAACAATACTCAGGTGGCTTCGCAGAGGTGAACGACTTTGTCAAGCGCCACGTGCGGGAGGTGAGTGCCCGGTTTTCGTACGCTATATGAATATATAGTGTAGATATTTACATATACTCATTGCCTGTATACACAAGATATACTAAATAAATATATATATATATATGTATATATATATATATGTATATCTATATATACATATAAATATGTATGTATCCTCCCGATATCCTAGCCTGCTTTTCGTGTCCTTGCATAGCGACCCTCGGGGATTGCACGGCAGAGAAAGATTTATCGTGTGTGTTCTCACACTCTCTCTCTATATATATATGTATTTATATATGCGATATATGCTATTCATGCTGTAGATACTTGATACTTTTTTGCAGAAACATATACAACACATGGTACATAAATTAACTATCTATATAGAAACGTATATTGCTATATGTATATATATATACATACATGATTACCCTCCCCTCCCCCCCCCCCTCCCCCACCCCCTCATGCGCCTACATTTTTGTGATTTTGAGCACGTGGTTTGAACCAATGGCTGTTCAAGGTGTGCTCAAGTAATACAGATGTGCAGAATGACACACACGACGGCGGCTTTTGGCAGGGAATTCGCGAAGACGATTTAGGTCTTAGGGTTGAGGGTTTAGGTTTTAGCGTTTAAGGTTTAGGGTTTAGGGTTTAAGGGCCCCTTCTGTGTCGGGTCTGCAGCTCACTTGTAGAGCTTGTTCGTGGTTTGGGTGCACAGTTCGCCACTGGAAGCCCGAGATTTCGATTCTTAAGCCAATGCTGTCATTGCAAACAACGCTGTACGACAACAAAAACCTATCTTCAGAGACCTCGGGGCATGAAATGGCCCAAATGGTTTGTTTTTCGTGGCTTTTTGGGGGATAGTACAGCATTTTTGCTTAAAAGATGGTTGTTTTTCCCCACCTGTCAGGTGAGGGTTGTTAGATTTATGTCAGCCTCATCTCCTTCTCCTCCTCGCCTTGCGCCCCCTCCTGCGCCGCATCCTCCTCCTAGCCGTTGCCAGACCTCAGCTGCGACCATCCGCGCACAGCGTTCCCCGCCGGACCCCAACCGCGACCAGCCGCGCCCAGTAGCATGTATGGTACACATTCCTAACACATGAAGGAAAATGTTGTACTGTGCAAAAAACCTTTGGAATTTCAAAACCATTTTGTGCCCCGAGGTCTCTGAAGATATGCGCTTTTGTCTCTTTTTGGACAGTACAGCATGTTTGCAATTGCTTGCTTGAAACCGTTGGTTTCCTTGTTGACAGTGTTCTGTCACCAAAAAACCGCTGGCAAAAAAAAGAACCTCCAAGCCATTTAGTGCCCCGAGGCCTGTGAAGATATATGCTTGTGTCTTTTTTGGACAGTACAACCAGTTTGCAAGTTTTTCCTTGAAAGCATTGGTCTTTTTGGGACAGTACAGGACTTTGGAGGCCTCGGACTGCAAAAACGCGGTACTGTCCCAACAAAAACACGTCTTGAGCAAACACATGCAAAAAAAACGCGGGTGCTGTCCGCCTTGGAACCTCCCGGCCATGCAGTGCCCCGAGGTTGTGTTTTTGCAGCACAGCTTTTTTTTGCAAGTTTGTCCTTAAAACATGGGTATTTGGGCTGGGGACTACAGCAATGTGGAGGCCCCAGACTGCAAAAAAAGCTGTACTGTCCCAAAAAGAACAATCTTTTTAAGCAAATATCAGCAAAATGCTGTGTTGTACCACCTCCAGGCCATTTTAGTGTGTGAAGATTTTTGTTGGGACGGTACAACGTTTCGCAAGTTTTTCCTTTCGGCACACTTCTAAAGCATTGGATATTTTGGGACAGTACAGCACAGCACTTTGGAGGTCTCAAAGGCAAAAACGCTGTACGGTAACTTACTTCACTTCGCAAAATTCCCACATTTCCAAACAGCCAGACTGACAGTCTGCTAAATTGGTCTTCGGGGCGGTACAGAATTTTGCAGTATAAACTGATGCTGGCGATGCTGTAGTCCCAACCGCTGCTCAAGCCCTATTTGGTTTGATTCTTAAAAGAAACCCCAAACCCAACTCTACATAAGTCGAAAAAACTGAACTCTCAAACGGAAAAAGATCCTGCAAAACATGTCGTGAGATACCTGCAGCAAAAAACAGAGAGGCAGGCACATGGGGGGGGTACCATATATATATATATGTATTTACTTACATATGTTCATATATAGAGAGAGACATATGCTATGTATGTCGACAGTTATATGTTGAAAACAGATGTACATGTTATATATATATATATACGTACTACATACATGGAAGACGCTACCTCTGGGGCCCCCAAGCCCGCACAGGTCTTGCAGGCCACGCAGCAACGCTTCAGCTGCGACCTCGGGCTTCTGGAGAGCGGCCTCGCGCTGCCCGTGGCGCCGGCCGAGCCGCAGGCATCGCAGGCACAGGTCCGCGCCGAGACCTCGGAGCATTCGGCCGATTCGGAGGACCTCGCGGCCCCTCCGAAGCCAGCAAGTCGCGGCTGCGTTGTCTCTTGAGCGCTACAAGGAGGGTTTAGGGTTTAGGTCTAGGGTTAAGGGTTTAGGGTTTAGGGTTAGGGAGGTTTATTTTGGCCAGCGCGGCGGCGCGGCAACTAATCCAAATGGGGGTTTACGATACTGAGGCACCCCGAAGATAGAAACCCAATTGTAGGATCTTCTGATAATCAGGACCCCAATAAGGTACCCTACTATCGTAAACCCCCCCAAGTGGTGGGTATCTCGGGCTATCTGCTGCGCAGGGTTGGCCATGTGAGGCTCACACGCCATTTTTTCGGGGTGCTGCACATGACGGCACTTCTGTAGTGTGGAGCACAGGGTTTTCTCCCAGATGTGGTTTCCTTGTGCCGCCAGTTGCATATATGTATGTGTACACCTGAGATGGCAAAAGTCTCTATCATGTGGCATGTGCACTCACGCTGCGGGCAGGGCGCTTCAAAGACTTGCTGTCGCCATGCTGATGTTGGGGGGTGGCTGTTTCTGGCTGTGCTACTGCCATTCCACTTTGGGGTTTAGGGTTTAGGGTTTGGTTTAGGCTTTAGGGAATGTAAAACGAAAAACCAGAAGCAAGTTCTTGAGCCGCTAGCAAGGCCTTGACCTGGATCCTGAGCATCAAGCCCGCCAAGGCGAGACGAAGTGGCTGACTTTTCCGCACCTCCTTTTTATGGGTTTTAGGTGTACCCTGGCACTCTCCTGTAAGCAGTGATATAACAATCGGCTAGGGGGATGTGCACCCTAAACCCTAAACCCTAATATTCTACTCCCTCAACCTGGAACCCGAACCCCCAAAACTTTTGTCCGATGCACTGGGTGACTCCATGACAGGAGATTTCTAACTCTTTCAGCTCTCCACGTGTTGCCCCGCGGTGTGGCTCAGTCCGTTACCAAAACAAGTACCCTCTGTAGGGTTTAGGGTTTAGGGTTTAGGGTTTAGGGTTTAGGGTTTAGGGTTTAGGGTTTAGGGTTTAGGGTTTAGGGTTTTGGGGAAGCCTAGCCCACAGCGAACCTCCTGAAACTGAAGCCGAAGCAGCTAACCCTCCAGGGGTACACTACACCCAAAACCCTGAGCCCTAAGCCCTAAACCCTAAAACCTAAACCCTAGCCCTAAAACCTGAACCCTCAAACGTAAACCCTAAAACATAAACCTAAACCCTAAACCCTAAACCCCTAAACCCCTAAACCCCTAAACCCCTAAACCCCACATCCCGGAGCCTCTGTGAAGGATGCGGAGGGCACCTATAGGACCTACATCGGAGCCGGGGCACTGCCACCAGAAACTTGGCGTCCCCGGCCTCCAGGGTTGGGGTTTAGGGTTTAGGGTTTGGGGTTTAGGGTTTGGGGTTTAAGGTTTAGGGTTTAGGGTTTGGGGTTTAGGGTTTGGGGGTTTAGGGTTTGGGGTTTGGGGTCTGGGGTTTGGGGTCTAGGGTTTGGGGTTTAGGGTCTGGGGTTTGCATCTCAGGCCGGGGCCTGGCAGTCCTGGGTTACAAAAGGGGTCTGAGGTTTGGTGTTTAGGGTTTACCCCAAACCCTAGCCTGTGGCAAAAGGGAAAGGGCTTCGGGTTTAGGATCTGGGTTGGGGGTTTAAGGTTTAGGGCCTACCCATTGCTCGTCCCATCATGAAGACATGCTATGAGGTACACCTAAACCCTGGAACCTTGAACTTTCAATTTCCAACCATAAGAATCACTGCCTTTCCTTGTCACTAGAAAGGGGGGCTTGTTTTTTTTTTTGGAGAGTTTAGGGTTCAGGGTTCAGGGACTCGAGTTTAAGGCCTGGGTGCCAGGGGGGGGGCCTCTTTTTTTCCTACAAGCAAGATGATTGCTTTGTTTCACAAATTGTAGCCCTACAATTAAGGTGTAGCTTTCGAAAACAGTGTGTCAACATTAAGTGGTTCAAACGTGAAGGGGTATAAGCGGGGTAGGTATAGGTTGCCGCGTGCTTGCTCGCTTTTGGACCAAAGTCGCGCTCTCGCCTACGCGTGGGCGTGGCCGGCGAAACTGTGATCGTTTTTGTTTGCGAAATGCATGACTGTCGTTGCCTTTTTTGCTTCTGTGCATGCGAAATGGTCGTCGCTTTTGGACGTCTGGGTTCCTCCCAAATGCGAAACGGTCGTAGCCTTTCGGCGAAAAACCCTAAACCCTAAACCCCTAGGCGCACATGGTCTTTCACTGTTTGGGGTCCACGCTGGCATATAAATTGCTCCCGACCCAGCGGCCGGACCCTGGCTTAGGGTTTTGGGGTTTAGGGTTTAGGGTTTTGGGGCTTTTCTGAAGCCTCGTGCCCAAAACCTTGAAGTCTGACAGCCTGACATCAACTATTGGAAAGCTGGTAGACTGAGTTGGTCCGATCGATTGCAGACGCATGCTGCAAACATCGCAAGATTCCCGGCATGAGGTGCGCAAGATGCATTGTTGTAGAGAACCCTGGGAGCATGCCCCGCAGGCCCTAGGTTCAAAAGGGACTGTACTTAAAACCCACTTGTAGTAAGCGGAGATATAATTGGTTAACAAGTACCATGAAACCCCCAAGTAGCATTCGCATCCCCAATGCATGGCCAGAATCCCTATCTGGTGCTTCGCCTGCAGCTCCCCTAGGGAGCTGTGCAGGTAGTTTACGGTTTGGGTTTAGGGTAGTTTAGGGTTCACTTGGCGTGGGGTTCTACGTAGGGTAGCTATAGCTACAACTGGTTCTAAGCAAACTTAGAGTACTTGAAAACCCTACTTATAGGTACCCATGAACCTGCAAGTAGCCCTAAACCCTAAACCCTAAACCCTAAACCCTGTTGGGATGATGCCGAGGATGGATTCACCAACCCCGCCGACCCCCGGGTGGTGGAAGAGGCCAGCGGTGAGGGGTTTCGGTGTAGAAAGTGGGGATGTTTTGACAGGCTCTTTTGCTTAAACCCTAAACCCTGAACCCTAAACCCTTATCTTGGGATGTTCCTCCTTATACTAACCGTCCTGAATAGGGGATTACAATAGGGGGTACCCCGATTAAGGACTGTTAGCAAAAGGGGGAGCATCCCAACCCTCATCCTTCTAGGGACGTAAAGTTTAGGCTATTAAAGGTCCTCGGGACCTCTGAATTGGGTCCCTGGAAGGATAGGGTTAAGTGTAGCATAGGGGTCTGCAGGGTCGGCCTCTTCTTTCCCCCCCAGAGGCTTGAAACACCCACCAATCCCTAAACCCTGAAACCCAAAACCCTGAACCCTAAACCCTAAACCCTAAACCCTAAACCCTAAACCCTCCCCTCTTCAGTCCCCAAACAAACCCTTTCCCCAAACAAACCCGGAACCCCTGTTCTTTGTGCTACGTGGCTTGTTTCGTGCGCTCATGGGCTTTAAAACCTTGGACCGACTCCCCCAAGCCCAGGAATTCGGTGTAGGTTCAGGGTTTGCGTTTAGGGTTTGGGGTTTGGGGTTTGGGGTTTAGGGTTTAGGGTTTTAGGGCCAAAGTAGTACAATCTTCCATGCCGTTGAGGCCCCGAATATGTCGGAAGCTTTAGGCATCCGCTAGCAGGAGCCCGTAAACCCTAAACCCCAATGCTTGCCCTGAGCCCTTTCAGCTCTTTGACCCCTGCTCCTCAGCGTTTGGCCTGCAACTCCAACGCAAAAATACGGGGTGCCGCCCATATAGTAGTGCACAAAATCTGCGCCCTCGAATCCACATGCCCATGCAGGTTACAGATGAGGATGACGAGCTCTACAGTGATGAGCTGCGTCCGGGCGCGCCGAAGGCGAAGTGTGTCCGGGCTGGTTGTTCCCATGTGTTGGTTCGTGGTTTGGGTGGGCACAGGGATGATAAAGACCCTTCACACCGTCCAGTGTATGACATCGAGGATTTGCCGTGCCAATCGTCCACTAGAGCTAGACGTTCCTAATGATGGAGCGCAAGCACATGCTGCAAGAGCAACATATAAGACCCTGTAACTTCCCATCCCCAGGATTGCGCGGTTCAGCGGAATCGCTGAGCACTCTTCCCTATTAAGGACTGCTAGTATAAGAGGGAACATCACAAGAAAAAACCCGAGACCCTCAACCCATTAATCATAATAGTCATACTAGCAATAATTGAAAGAGTAGCAGCAGTAGTACTCATCAAAAAAGATTCCTGATCCCCAAACCCCGAGACCCTCAGCCCGTTATCGACCCCTAAACCCTAAACCCTAAACCCTAAACCCTAAACCCTAAACCCTAAACCCTAAACCCTAAACCCTGAACCCTAAACCCTAAACCCTAAACCCTAAACCCTAAACCCTAAACCCTAAACCCTAAACCCTAAACCCTAAACCCTAAACCCTAAACCCTAAACCCTCAACCCTAACCCTAAGGTTTCGCCCGGAGTGTCCTGTGAGGGATCAAAGATCAAAGCTATCAAGGCCCGGAGCTGAACTCCCAACCCCCCCTCCAAAAAAGAGTCTCGAGATATATACATAAATATATACATATATATATATGTTTTCAGACTTATATGTATACTTATAATAAGAATAATATTAGTAATAATAGCAATGACAATAACAATAAGAATTATAATAATAATAATAGTAATAATAATAATAACACAATAAGTATAACAACAATAAAAATAACAATAGTAATCACAATAACGCTAGCAATAAGAAGAGTAGTAATAATATGTAATAAACAAAGGATTCTAGATCCCAACATGTTTCAAAGCACCATTCTATTGAGGGTTTGGGGTTTGGGGCTTATAGGGTTTATATGGTTCAGGGAATATGTTTCAATCAAAGGGTTGTGCGTTTGGGGCCGTTTCTCGAAATTCGCTGGCACCTTGGCATCTCATCTTGCACTTTTCGGCTTGGCCTGCGGGTTACTACTTCTCATGGGCTCCCCTACTAGCCCCTCTCTTTTTTCTGCCCCCCCCCCCCCCCAGGTTCCCCCCTTAAATAACCTTAATTAGGCTTAATTGTCCCTAAAAAGCCTTAATTATGGGGGGAACCTGGCGGGGGGTAGTATGGAGGGGGGTAGGAGGGGCACCCATGAGCTTCTCACAGGTGCACCGCCCCTTTGTTGAAGGGGCAGGCATAGAAACCTTGTTTGAAGAGAGGAGAATATGAACCCCCCAACTGGAAACCCTAGCCTTAAAGCCTTAAAGCCTAGACCCATTATAGTTGCACCCTAAACCCTAAACCCTATATAGTTTAACCCCAAGCCCTGTATAGTTTTACCCTAAACCCTAAACCCTGTATCGTTGAACCCTAAGCCCGCTATGGTTTCTAGTAAGCCTTGGAAATCCAGGGCCAGCGCGCTGCGAGCTCGGCGATCGTTTGAAGAGGCTGCCTTGACATTTGAGGGGTGCAGGGGATGGGCCGGTTTAGGGTCCGGGTTTAGGGTTTAGGTTCTGGGACAAGCCTGTGCCAAAGGTTTAGGGTTTATTGTTTGGGGTTTAGGGTTTAGGGTGTGTGTGTGTGTGTGTGTGTGTGTGTGTCTCCGTGCGTGTGTGTGCATGCGTGCATGCGTGCATGTGTGCATGTGTCATCCCTCAGTCATGCGCAGGCACAGATGCCCAGGTGTCGCAGATCAGGTGACGCGGACGATTTTTCTCGCAAGTGAGGCGACCATGTTTCTCAAATGCGACTACGGGCCAAGAAGCGTGTCTGATGTTGGATGTTGGAAGTTACCCTAAGCCCTGAAACCTATACCCTGGGCCTAAACCCAAAACCCAAAACCCTAAACCTCGAGAAGTGTATCAACAAATCGCTAAACCCTAACCCTAAACCTTACAAACCCTAAACACCATAAACACTCAACCCTGAAAACCGCCCTAAAGAAGACATTCTCGCCTGCATCTTGCCCTTCCCAGCTTGCCCTTGGATGCTTGCCCTCTCGTTTAGGGTTGCGGGTTTAGGGTTTAGGGTTTAGGGTTTAGGGTTTAGGTTTAGGGTTTAGGGTGTATGGATTGCTGCCAACCGAAACTACCTAAACCCTACGCCCTGAACCCCCAAGCCCCCCGCCCCTCGGATATTTCAGATGCTGAAGCCTAACGCCTCAGTCCTCAATTGAAGGGGGTTTAGGGTTTAGGGTTTAGGGCAAAGGCTGACAGAATGTGGAGAAGCCTTCCTTTCGCTTAGACCCGAGAGCGGCATCCGAAGCAATTCGTCACAACGCCCGCCTTTCTGAGCGCTGGTTGCTGACATGTCGATGGTAGATTTGGGGGTTTACGGAGATGAGGGACCCTTGATACAGACCCTAAATAGCAGGGTTCCCTTATAATAAGGACCCCAAGAAAGGTACCCCTAATTTCGGAAACCCCCATTTGGCAGATGTGTAACATCAGAAGTGTGCGCATAGTAGTTGTCTGTTGATGTATACAACATTTTTGTGTATTCAGCCGTATACTAGGTTTCTCTATTAGAGAACAAATTACATATCCTCCCTACGCATATTCGGTTTTCGTGTATGCACACATACGTTCAATATCATAGCTGTTATTCCTTGTTTGTAGATGTAGATGGAATATATATATATATATATGTATATGTAATATCAAACGTTGTATTTCATGTCGCTGTATAAGTAAAAAAAGGCTTTCTATGCGACTCGTGCGGTTACTGTTAGTCCTTTTTTATGATCATTGCGTGTGTCTGCACACCTAGGTTTCACTTCGAGCCAGAGATGCCAGAAATGTGGTTTCGGGTTTAACCGCATGATCTGCATCTAGATCTCAAGGTGTGTGAGGGATTTGGGCAAGTAGTGGATGTTTGGGTGCGCCATATTAGAACCCTAAACTTAAGCCCTGCAAAAGACACTAAAACCCTAGCAGCTCAGCGTGGGCGGAGAGTTTTTTGTCTTTCGATTTCTTCTTTGCAATCGCTCCCGCCTCCTTCTGGACTCTGAACTGGGTGGGCCCTTTTAGGGTTTAGGGTTTAGGGTTTAGGGTTTAGGGTTTAGGGAGACGTTCGTTACTTTCATGTCTTCCCTGGGTTGCAGAGGCACCTCCTTCCTCCCAGCTTCCAAACGGTGTAGGCCCTGACGGGGTACTTGCGTATCTTCCCTTATTGGGTCTAAGTGGATCATGTCTAGGAAAATTCAGGGGGTTCCAAAGGCCATCCTCGTGATGCTCCCCAATGCCAAAAGGACATTGGTCGGCTTTCACAAACCCTAAACCCTAAGCCCTAAACCCTGAACCCTAAACCCTAAACCCTAGCCCTAAACCCTAAAACACGTTGCCTAAACCTCAAAACCCCTCAATGTCGAGGTGAAGCCTTGTCCTGGGCTTGATTAAAGTTGGTTGAAGCTTCAAGGGCCTTTTGGGTTTACGGTTCCGGGTTCAGGGTTTAGGTTTTAGGGTTAGGAGTCCAGATGCAAAAAGGGTTTGGGGTTTAGCGTTTACGGTTTAGGTTTTAAGGTTTAGCTTAAGCTTTGTGCTGCGTGGAAGATCGATGTCTGCTTATTTAGTGGGTTGAACGTGCGCGTCTTTCTGCCAGAGCTGGGGCCGGGCATTTTCGGAGCGACAATCGCATTTGAACCAGGCCTGTGCGCAGCTTCACTTGCTCAGCACACTCCTGCTCAATTTTCAGCCACTGCTCTGAGCTGGACCAAGCACCCCATCCATGAAACAGTTTATATCTATAAGAAGTCGTAGAAGAGGCTTCGATACACCCTGTGCTGGTTCTAAGGGGCATATATATATATATATAAAGCAACTCCCCGGCTGTAGCTGTCCTTTAGTTGGCACCAGCCGTAAACCAAAAGGTCAATTTCCAAACATGGGGGTTGTACAAGACACAAGGGGGTCCCCCTAATATGCCCCGAAATAGTATAATTCTAAAAGGAACACCAAGTCGGGCACCCTTTAGTAACCCTATTTTCGGAAATCCCAAAGATGTCAAAGAGCTCTACTTGAAGGTTCTCTTGGAGAGCAAGAAGCAGGCTCAAAGGTACACTAGCCTCATTCTAACCCTAGTTTTACCTAGCCATGAGCCTCCAGACCTGTTGCTGGCCCAACTTGAGCAAGGCTTCTCCACCCAACCTGTGTCAGACGACCAGGGATCGCCAGTTGCAGGATGCAAAAGAGTTGCTGGAATTTTCGTGGTAACTTCCCACATAAGACTATACTCGAAGGTGAGAAGTAGATAATGAATGCTAAGGGCTGTGGTATTAGGCCTTTTTGTCTGCTCTTTGTGGTAACTTCCCATATATGTGGCACCGACGTCTGCTTGTCACGGTTTAGGGTATTGCTTGCTTCGGCAGGTTTTATAAGTCTGCAGCCACATGACCCACGGGATGCGCTGCAGGAATCCCGTAAACCTTTGACTGTGTCTCTTCAAGCACTTCCGGTTTGCTCACATGACGCTGTAGGCCACCTCATCTGAGTGGCTGTGCAATCCTAGCCACGTTATGCACGGGCGCACGACAGATATGCTGCTGTAAAGCGGCGGTTTTGGGCGGATTGTAGTGTCTACTTGGGCGCTCATGTGTAGTTATAAGTAGGATTATATGTACCCTAAGTCAGGTGATATGTATAGTTGCCCTACTTGCAACCCTACTTAAAACTACCCACGAACCTCCAAGTAGTAGTCGTGTTAGAAGTACCATGGACCTCCAAGTGAAAAATGGGAATCAGGAGCCCTATTCAAGAGAGGGTTTAACAAGGCGTTGAGAGAAACACTAGATTAAGGACTGTTCTTTTAGGAACATAAGGCTTCGCGTGGCCGGTGAAGCTTCGCATTCTAGGGTTTAGGGTTTACGGTTTAGGGTTTGCCGGCAGCCTCCAAAGTCCGTTGCCCAAAAAAAGGGCTTAGGGTTTAGGGTTTGAGTTTGAGGGCTCCGATGGCTGACAGAAACCTCAGCGCGCATTTTCCTGAAAGGGATTGGGGGCTGGATGGGAGTAGGGCTTAGGGCACCCAGAAAGGTCCGGATACCTGATCCTTTTCGGCTTGGGGACTCAAAAAAAAGCCCTCCAGGACTATGGTGTTTGGGACCTGAAACCATAACTGGGACCCAGAGTTACTAAGGCCCTTATTCTTTATTATTATTTTTTTTTTTTTTTTGGGGGGGGGGGGGGGGGTAGGTTCCCTTCTAAACCCCTTTAAACCAAACGAAGGGGTACCCTGTGTTATTGGGGGGGTTACTCTTGGGTCTAGATAAAGGTAAGGCTGTTCCCCCCCTATGATCATCCCTATAAAGGACTGCTAGGAGAAGGGGAGACATCCCAAATAGGGGGCACTTGTTTTTTTCCTCCTACATGCCAGCAGCAGGCCTTCCGCAGTGACCCGCGGCTGTCCGAGCGCAACTTGTCCAACGAGCATGGAGGGCTCAGGGTTTAGGGGGTTAGGGTTGAATTATAGGGTTTAATTAGGGTTTAGGGTTTAGGGTTTAGGGGTTGTTATACTTCTGGAAGTCTTCTAACTTTACGTTTTTTGTAGCAAATACTTTTGCGTGAGTAGATGCGGGACTCTATAAACCCTAAACCCTAAACCCTAAACCACAGGTACCCTACACTTGGTTTCGGGTTTAGGGTTTAGGGTTTAGGGTTTCAACTCCATGGTTCAGCATGTTCTGGGATTCACAAGCCCAGACGGGAGTCGAAGTCGCCCAGGCCAACGCTCCTAATACAGGCGCCTACTTGAGGGTGTCATGGGTAGTTATTAGGGTTTAGGGTTTAGGGTTTAGAGTTTAGGGTTTATTAATCCAGGGTTAGAAGTAGGGTAACTGTGCCTATGTTTGGTTATAAGCTTGCTTAGGGTACGTACAAGCCTACCTATAACTACCCGTGAACCTTCAAGTAAGCAATTACTAGCATCATCCCTTTGTAGAAGCCGCGGCTTCTACAACTACAGCAAGCCCAAGTGGAATGAAGTTGTTTTTGCCGCTCAATGATGGTTGCCCTACTAACATCTTCCCCCCACAAAAAAAAGAACAAAGAATTAACTACTCATGTAATCATTCTAAACCCTAAGCCCATAGCTACCCATGTAGTTTCCGCAGCAACCTGTAAGGATCCCTGTAGATCGGCCCTGCGAACGGGTTTAGAGTTTTAGGATTTTAGGGTCTTAGAATTTTACGGCTTTGCGGTTTAGTTTTTTATGGTTTAGGGTTGTGTTTTCTTTGGCCTTCTGGCCCTGAATGCCCAACTGGCCGTAGAGATTCTTCAGAGGTCTTGAAGACGAAGACCAGTACCTTGGGAGCCTTGCCTGATATCACACCTCTTTTTTGGGCTTGTGTTGAGTTGCTGTGGCCACCCTAAACACACAACCGAACCTTAAACCCGAAACCCTAAACACACCAAGCCGACCTAGCCTCTGAACATCGAAGTGCTGAGTTTAGGG